TTCCGTGGCCCCCGGGCCGCCGTGCCCGCGCTCTGCCCCGTGAGGTCACTTCCGGGCCGGGCCGGAAGCGGCGAGCGCGCGGCCGGATTTGAATCGCGCAGGGCCGCGCCGCCGCCTCTCCGCTACCGGGGGCACCGGCCCCCGCCGACCTCCCTTCCCCTCCCTCCCCATCCCCCGCCATGCCCATCCGCGCCCACTGCACCATCTGCTCCGACTTCTTCGACAACGAGCGGGACGTGGCGGCCGTGCCCTGCGGCCACACCTTCCACTACGCCTGGTGAGCGGCCTACCTGCCCTTGCCGGAGGGAGGGAGGGAGGGAGGGGTGGGTGCTCCGGGAGGGACCGGCGGCCCCCTCCTAACGCTCCGGGTTCCCCCGGCCGGGGCGAGTCGGTGGCCGGCGGCAGCAGCCGTCCCGCCCGGCTGCTCCTTCCCCCCGAGACCCGGCTGCTCCCCTGAGGGGGCTTTGGGCCTTGTGCTGGCACCGGCCGTGCCCCCTGCCCGGGCTCGGTTGTGGAGGGGACTGCTTCGTCCCGTGATGTCACCCATAACGGCAGCGATTCTGCTTTGTAGGGGATTTAAAGGAGCTCACGATGCTGCTGCAGGAGCCTGGGCTGCCTGGTGGCTCCTTCTGCCTGTGGTCTTCCTTCTCCAGAAGGGCTGGTGCCAGCAGCTTGCTCCTACACAGGGTGTTTATCTGGAAGGAGTGGTGTTAGCTTATGAGTGAAGCTTCCCAGGCAATTTCATGCTTCTGCTGGAACTGTTCTGCAAGTGTTTGTGTTGGAAGGAAATGGTTCCTCTGAGGAAATTAATTCTGGGGGGGAAGGAGGGAGCAGGCATTTGCTTTTCTCCTTGGCTAACTAACTTGGAGAAGGGCTGTCACTCTCAGGTGTGACGGTCACTTAACCGGCGGCACAGCTTAGGCTCGCTCTCCTCTAACAACCAACAGAGGAGGGAGAGCTTCCAAAGGTAACCTGCCAGCTCCAGATTGTTATCCCGCTCCAAAAATAAACTCTTCTGAGTGTGACGTGATGGCTTGGTTGCAAAATGCATTAGTGGCTCTCCTGGGGAGCCTGGCAGGTTTGCATTCATCAGCTCGGAGCAGAGACCGGCCCAGTCTCCCTGGCTCCACAGCCGCGCGTTCGGTGTCAGCGGCACCCTTTGGAGCTGACCAAACTGGGGATCTCTCGGCTGTCGTATCCTGATATAGCAGCTCTTGTGCCGCTCTGCGTGTGGATCCGTTCGCTCCTGCAAAGCTACACTTGTTCAAAGGCTTTCTCCCAGGGAGATCTGAGCTCTGTAAAAACTCTGCCCTGGTAAAGATAAGCTCGCACGCTAAATTCAGCTGGGAATTGTCTCAGAGGCGAAGGTAGAGTGCGCCTGCTGGAACACCGTGTTCCCGTTAGCTGCACCTCTGGACTAAATGTTTGCATTTCTGTTTTTAGTTTGTTAAAAGGAGTTGCATCCTGCTTTCTCCTGGTGAGTTGGGGGGTGGCCCTGGGAGCAGTGCTTCTGGACTTTTAAGAATTAACCATATATTTTTCCTTTCTCAGTCTCACCCAGTGGTTTGACACGGCACCGAGTCGGACATGCCCGCAGTGCAGAATTCAGGTAAAACCATCACCTCTGTACACCTCTGTATTTCTGTGGCACGATGCTCTGCTGAGTGGCACCGAGCAGCCATGGGCTGGGCCTGTGGTGACGCAAAGAAAAGGCTCCTGGTATGAAGTGGAGAGAACTTTCTCTCCCTGGGGGCTTTAGAGGGTGAACTCCTCTCAACCACCCTTCTGATCAGGAGGGGTGGTCTGAGGGTGCCCTGCTGCTGTCTGTATTGTAGTTTCTCTAGGAAGGTTTTCATGGCTTTTATTTAGGCTGAGTAAGTATTGGTGTGACGACAGAAAGGGCTGGAAGGGATTAATCAGGACATCAGAGTTGCATTTCTAGAGTCCCCTGCTGCTTGCCATCGCCATCGGGTGAGCAGCCCCGTTCTGCTGCACGAGGTCCTGGCGATTGAGTCCTTCCTTTGCAGCGCTGGGCTCTTCGTTGAGAAAAGCAAAGGCTGGGGAGGGAAGGAAGGATGTGCTCTGCTTCTGAGATGGGAAACCAAGGCTTGGAGATCCAGTGGCTTAATCGGGACCTGAACTTCTTTAAAGTCCCTTGTATCACCAGCCTTGATGCCGCCAGTAGGTCCTGGTGTGTAGTGGCTGCAGGAGATGTTGCCTCATGTTCAGATGTAGGGATTCAGCCAGCTGCAGCTCGGGCTTGTTCTATGTTCGTGCTTCTTTCTTCCTCTCAAGGTCTTGGCCCTTGTTCTTTCCCTGACTTGTTGATTCCCTCTGTTCTTCACTGCCTCTTACATCTCTGGGTTACCATGGAGTTATCGCGAAATAACATCTTATGTAGCAGTAACTATGCAATTAGCTGGTGTCATGACTGTATATAATACTTAAAACACAAAGCTGTAACTGCATGGGGGAGGTGTGGAGAGCTATCAAATTCAATTACAGCACCTTCTGCCTGCAGAAAGCAGCACGTACTTCTGTCTTAGGATTTGGCATCGTGTTAGCTCAGCGTCAGCTGCTCGGGCCTGAGCTGCCAGAGAACAGACTGCGCTTGATTCAGAAATGCCTGAATCTTTCTGCTGCGGCTCAGGAGCTTGGCTGGAGTCGCGCTCCCAAAACTGAGTGTGTGTGTGGGGGGGGTCTGCTGCTGTGCTGATGAGCCAAAGCAGAGCATCGTCACTAATGGTGCCGAAAACGTGATCTGTCTCGCCTTTCGTGGCCTTGTGACAAGATGGTACCTTCTCCCTCTCTGACTCTCTTCCGTATCCGTTGTGTTTCCATCTCTGTGCCCATCACCCTCTTCTGTCTCCTGTGTTTAGGTCAGCAAAAGACACATCATCAACAAGCTGTTTTTTGATGTTGCCCTGGAGGAGCAGACAGCACCAGATGCGGAGGCTTTGCAGGTAACTTGACTGGGTTCTTACGTTGTGTGACGCTTCAGCGTCTTGGAAGCGTGTCCCGGGCCGCTGGTCCTCTGCCAACGGCTGCTTCCTGAGCTGGTGCTCACTGTGCTGCGCTCATGTTTCAGACCTGAAGCACATCAGTGTCTCCTGCTCATCTCTGTTCTCCCTCTTGGTCCTTGCCCAGTCTCAGCTGTGCTGTAGGGGAGTCTCCATGCGATAGGTTAGAGTTCCTCCTGACCAAATCTCGTGCGGTGACTCAAGAAGCCTCCTCTACTTCACCGCTCTTCCTTCTGGTTCTCGCCTTACCTGGAAACTCCAGAAGCAGCATCAAATAAACATCCAATGGCTGCTTCTCCCTTAGGTCTTGAAACCTTGGGGATGAAGCTACAAAGCTTCTCCAAAAATCCCAAATGCAATGAATTGCTTCTGGTGTCTGTGGCTCGGTTGTGCCCTACAAACCCCTCTGGAAAGGAGGGGCTGTTGGAGGAAGTGCAGGTAGGTTCCTTTGCACAGACTGAAAAGCAAGTGGGACATGGTGGTGATAAAGTCCTGGTTCCCCAGGAGAAATTAGGAAAGGGACTGCCTGAAGCTGCACCAGCAGTTGTGGACAGTGAGGAGGCTGGGTCCTTCGGGGTGGATCCTGGCTGGAGCTGGGTGCTGGGTGCTGTTCTCCAAGTGTCACCCTTAGGTGCAGAGAGCTGGAGGTGGGAAGG